TATACACATATATAATATGACCTATTTAGATAAAAATAAATATGACCTATATTTAATATGACCTATTTAGATATAAACAAAAATGTCGGCTACAAAAAAGAGCTATTAAATATTTAATCATGGCTGACTTATAAAGATGTGCTTTTTTTCTTGACAGCAAATGGGAATAGTCGAATTGTGCGCATCGAACATCTCATTAGCTTTTCACGTTGACATCAGCGTGCTGCGGCTGTGTGGCGGAGCGCCTGAGTACAGCGACAGCGGGAGAGGAACCATTAGTAGGCTCATGCTGTGGCAGCACCACACTGTTAATGCAGCATGAAAGCTTCACAACCTCCATCTTAAACAGGCCCGTCTCCACCAGCACGTCCTCATTCCTCCCTCGTCCCTGTGTCATAGCCTGTCCTGTCATGGCTGCTGTTTTGTGTTGTGACCGCGCTGGAAGGGATTATGGCAAACACCTCCATGTGGTGGGTGTCTGACCCCCTTTTTTATGGGTCGGCAGAGGAGAGAGGATCGCTCGGGCTGCTGTCAGGCAGGGGGTGTGGGGGGCTGGTATTGTTCTCCTCCTCCTCCTTCTCTGTGCCTTTTTCTTTGTGTCTGGCACCATCGAGACATCTACCGCAGTTGTGGATTATGGCTGCATTCTCCTGTGTGTGAATATGTAGTGAATGCACTTTCAAAAGCACGCACACATGTTTGTGTCTTGTTAATGTGTAAACTGAAGATCATGTTTGATGACACGGCGCCAGGGTTATTATCGTTAACAAAAACTAAAACCATAAAACACATTTTTGTTACCTGAAACTAAATAAACGTTAACTGAATTAAAATAAAACATTAAAAAAAAATTATATTTCAGCTACCCTGAAACATTTAACATTTTTAGTTGAACTTAGTCAATGTATTTTAGCTTGCACATACAAGTTGGAAGATACTGGCCACTGCACTTCCATTAGCACAGCTATTGCTCACTTAGTAAAGCAACATACATGTAGCCACCTACAACCTAAACAAGTACTAAAACTGACAAATGTCAATTATTACTGAGCATTAAACATTAACAGGTCTTTCCCTTTACTCAAAAACACATAAAATACAACTTGATTTCAACATTTACTCTCCTGATCCAGCCCTATGCAAATCATGCTGGGAAATAACAATCCACCACACAGTAAGGGGTCTTTCACACAAGCACTTTTGGTGCACACCCGGGTTCGATTGACGTCAAAGTTCGGTACGTTTGGATGATGTGAACACAATCTACCGAACTCGGGTGCGCACCCGGGGACCGTACACGAGTCCACTTAAAAGGGGTGGTCTGGGGTATGGTTCAAGTGAACTTCGGTACGGTTCGCTGCTGATGTGAACGTAATCGTACCAAATCGTGAAAGTGAACCGCTTTTAATGACGTATTATTTGATAAAAATGTGTGTTTGTGTGTGTTTCACTCACTTTCCTGAAAAGCGTGACTGACGCGCTGCAAGCAGAGAGCTGTATGTCTCATTTCTGTTCGCTTCAGCGTTCTTTAGAGCATTTGCAGTACATTCGTAAGACAGACGTAAGTGCAAATAAAACCAACAGTTAAAAAATAATAAATATAAAATTGAAGAGAGCAATGCTACGCATTTTGCCGCCTTCTCCTGTGCCGTCGTTACTAAACAATGGGGTAAACAGCTGCTGGCTTGATGACGCAAACGAACCGCGGTTCGGACCCAAATAATATAATGTGAACACTGGTGGGGGCAGGGGAGGGGGGAGCCAAGTATGAAAGCACCGTAATGGCGCTTTTCCACTGCATGGTACGGCTCGGCTCGGCACGACTCAGTTTGCGTTTCCAGTTTAGTACCGCTTTAGAGTGGGCAGGATTATAGACATGTCGTTATAGTTGCACCACCTTTTTCATTTCGCGTCGTCCCATCAAGCTCTCGCTGGACCGCTCCTCGGCTATCAACGAGAGGAATGTCTGCACTTCCTCAACAAACCACGAAACAGCCATTATTTTGTTGTTTAAAAAAAAGGTGTGCTTGTTCGAAACTGTTCAATGTTCAAAGTTCAATGACGCAG